CTCAAGGTCTAGCAACAAGTAAGTGTACATTAATGTATGCATACTTTGTTAGTCACCATCGTGACCCAATCACTCTATTCGGATTGGACATATATATATGTAGGTGTGTGTATTCATAACTTAAGAAGTGGCAGACTTCGGGCTCCTCCAGCCACAAGAACCCGTCGCAAGGGTGTGAACCAAAAAGGGAACGGGTGGGAAAATAAGAAATAAAAAGTTAGTAAAAAATCCTTCTTGCCGCTATCGTCTCCCTGCTCCCTTCAATCACCGTCTTCCAAAAGTATTCATGCGATAGGAAAAGGATCGTACAGAAATATCTCCGTTTTCTCAGGGCATATTTATTTAGGCGGCCACTCTCTCCCGTGAGCATCCTCCTCGCAAGCTCCTAATAAAAACATAAAGATATATTTCTGTGGGGTTCTTTTCCTATCGCATGAATACTTTTGGAAGACGGTGATTGATGCAACCGAAGGAACCGATAACGTCAAGACGAATGTTTTAATTCTTTTTATTTTATTTTTTCCATCCCAGTAACCTTCTTTTTTAAGTCCCCACCCTTGCGACGGTGTCTGATGGCTGGAGGACCCCAAAGTCTGCCACTTCGTAAATAAGAAATATATTTATGTATGTATGCATCCAATCCGAATGCAGCGTTCAACATGTCGCAAGAGTGGGGCCACCATAATGCATAAATATATAAATATGCGGAGCAAACAGCGAGGATTTGGCGAACCCACTGCCTCTCCATTTACTCATTCCTCCTTCCCGTCGTATTTTATTCCTTTAGAAAATTTGAAGATCCGGCCAGCAGCCCAGACGAGTATTTCTTCCTTTCGCTTTCCTGTTTGCGTGTGTGCCACAGGCACGGTTTGATTCAAGTGGCATTGGTGCCTCCACGCCATCACATCCTTCTGCTGCCGCATTTGCGGGGCAATTGGGTTTGGGCATCCAGAGCACACACACACACACACACACATCCGCAGAAAAACCATAACTTGCATCCCTCCCATCCGCAGCCAAAAAGGCTCCTCCATTGAGCCACACGGAGACAGGGTCAAGGGGGAATTAGTTTAATTTCTCTCTTTATTGGTGGCTGCTACGCGAAGCAACAGCAGTCGGGGAAAAAAAAAAGCAGGGAACAAAAGTGAACAAATAGGTATGACAAGGAAACACCCAATTTTTTCCTTTTTTACTTCGTCCGGTAACGGTGCACGTTGCCTGTGAAATTTGGTGCGCACGACGGCAGGGGGTGCGGCCCCCGTTCGGTGAGAAGAGCATTAAAAGCCGTGTCGCGCCCTCGCGCCGCCTCAACTTCACACCAGACTCCAACGTAAGGGCCCCAGCAGCACTAGACTCCGGAAATGAATTCACAGCAGCCTCTACTAGAATTGGGGTGGCCTTTATCCAACGTTGACGCATGAAATAGGTTCAATGCGGCCACAAGAAAAATAACGGAGGCTTTTGCCGCCGCGTAGTTGAAGGAAATGTCATCGCAGAGCAACTCCTCCACTAGAAGACGAATGGAATCCTGTCGAGTGGACGTGAAACTCGTCAGGCTGGGGTACGTGGGCACATTAACAGCCCGGTAAAACAACTCCTCAAAGACAACGTAGTATACACGTGAGGAGAGAAGAACACGTGGCAGGGCCACGTTGTACGATAGGCCTATCCCTCGCAGCCGCTCTCGTGCCAAGTAATCAAAGGAACGATTGCATTGACACCGCTCCATTGTTTTGC